GGCTCCTCCAGCTGCTATCTTCTGTTACTAGACAAAAAACAGGACTTGGCCAAGTGTTAATATTGTGACTAGAGGAACAAAAACGGTACCCCCCTCTGGGGAAATGGTTACAGTTGAGCTTATTCACCTTCTAACTTCCTGCAAGGAAATTTCACCAGGTAATTGGTGAACATACCAAACAGCAGCAACCCTGTAGCAATTTAAATCAATCTCCTGTGAGTTCCAGGGTACTGGGGTAAATGATTATCTCCAAAAGGGAGCCTGGAAACACCAGCAACTTTCTTCTAACCAAAATGTATATAGTTGAAATGTTTCAAAATTTGCTGCCAAAGCTTCAGATGTTTCTGACATTGTGTAGTGCAGTGGCTGAAGCATTAGAAGCAAAATCTCCGGTACAAATATCAACCACAAGCCCAGGTGATCATCGTTGTTCTCATTCGGGGGCACCACTAGCAATGTAGAAATAATACTGGCTTACTGTGCAGGTAATTTTAAAGATCATTTTAATATTGTACAATAAATCAGTTCAGTTTAGATTTGTAGTGTAATATACGCACTTAATAGTATTGTCAGCACAAGTAGACATCTCTCATGCTCCAGATGTTGTTGAACTATTGACTATACTAGCTAGATTTAACAGGAGCTGCAGTCCAATAACAACTGGAAAAGCACAAATTCTTGGTCTCTGGTTTATGCCTTACTTAAATGGCTGGGATTCTTGCAGGAGTTCATATACAAAGGCACTAGAGACACCTGCCAGGCCCAGATGTGATGTCTGTGAATGTATTTAGATCAGATAGGGAATTGCCCATGGAAGATGTGTCTAAAGTGATGCACCTCCTCATGGGTGGCAGGGGAGTGGTGCTTCTTCAAACTCTTCTGCTCTGGATCCACTACTCCCTCTAAAGTGTGAACCAAGGAGAACCGCTAGATCTGGGTGGATGACAGTGCTGTCAAGAGGCACTGTCCCTTTTCTTCCTTAATAGACATTTTTTTCTGGTAAACAGGAGGAGGAAAGAGGTGTTGGGGAAGCACAGCGCAGCTGCAAATTAAGAAAATGACAGAATCCCACAGTATGCTCGTGTCACCACTGATTCTTATTTGGACTGTGTTGATTTAAGCCCTCCCCAAAAACGTGGCAATGCTGGTTTCCAGAGCTCACATAAGGGAGCTTACAACCTGCCTCCTTCCATAAATTAGCATTTCCAGTAATTTCAGGGCCTCCTCAATAAAATGCAGAGTCTCCTTTGCTTAGGCAGTGGGTCCTACTTGCACAAAGGAAAAGCACTGGCATGGGCAGAAGCACCCCTACAAGTATCATATGAAACTCCCCTGTAAAATTCTGTAAGAGGTAATGCAACTACACAACCAAGGCCTCACCTGAAAGCATCCATACTAGTTTTTCCAGATTTGAAACAGGTGAAAATGATCCTTTCCTTTGCTATGCATTTGAATGTTATGGAACACTCTGCTAGAAAGTTTTTTTTGTAAAAAAACTCAGCAGGAATCGTATCATGTTACATCAGTACTGGCTGTAGATTTGGTTGGAATGGTGCACGGCACTTAGAGCTGTGAAGGCTAGAAAAAAATCTGAAAATGAAAATACATATTTTCTGGGCCTTTGCAATTCTAGGTGTAGATTTTCCCAGCCAGGTACCCTCCAGGTATTTTGAAGTATAGCATCCATCAGCCCTACTCAGCATGACCAATGGCTAGAGATAATGGCCTTTGTAATCCAAAACACCTAGAAGGCACTTGGTTGGGGGAATTTTTTTTCTGCAGACCACACTACATAGGCCAGGGGTCCCTGACATGCAGCCCCCAAGCATCAGGGCATTTTCCCTGAGACCCTCACTGTTCTTCCTGTCTCAAGCACCACCATCTACTGCTGCTTTTCTTGTCCCTTTCTTTCAAGACACAATAACATTCTGGTCTCCATGGTTCCTTCTGTCAGTCCCCTCTTGATCTTGTCCATTTTGGCCATTCAGGATGCTTTGCTAGCCAGCAGAACTCAGGTACCTGTACCATTCAGCTCTTTCACTTCCCCTCTCCATGCACTACCATGTTGAAAGCTATATAGGTGTGCAAGGAAGATAAAGCTGCTGTGTGGATGGGTACAGATGATGTTTGACCTGTTTTTGCAAAAACAGGCAGGAAAAGGAGAGTAAAAGACTTGGCAGTTTTGCAAGAAGGACAGAAGTATCTTGCACACTTAACATTTCAAGAAGCTGCATGCATCAAGGTGGCTTCCAAGGCTACTGGGGAGGTTGCTGCTCCAGGCAAAAGCATTCTTCCTTCTTCAACAAGAGCTGGTTGCTCTGACTTTTTGCCTTGCTTGCTTCTGCCTCTCCTCCCCCACCCACTCCAGCAAGGACTCTTCTCACGCACCTGTGATTGCAGGAGCCAGTGAGTAGCCCCTTGGTGAAGGGAAGCTTATGGGATTCCTCTTCCCACATCTTCCTCCCCCTAAGTTCCTGTCTCCCTTGTAAAATTCAAGTGTAGGTCAAGACTTACGGATGAACATTTACATGCCATTTTAAGGGTGTCATGTCCAAGTCAAGCCAAATGCCTTGGCTAACAGAGAACAGCCACAAAAATCACACTGACTAGGTAAGCATGTGTAGTTAGGTAAAGTATTGTTCCAAAGTGGATTGCATTCAAGTTAACATTTCTTCATTGACCTCTGGATGTTTACTTCTGATCTAAATTGGTAGCTTTTAACATTTAAACTGTGGTTAAATGTTAATAACTTTTAACATTTAAAATGTGGCCTTCTTTAAGCATTGGGCACTCTCATGTGCCCCCATGTCCCAGAATGTTGGGGACCATTGTATCAGGCTAGAATGTCAAAAACTCAAGAATGTCTCCCCCATTGTTTTTGTTTCAGATTCTTCTCACCCTGCAGATACTTGCGCATCCAGAAACAGGTTTCCACACTACTTGGAGATGGAGCTTGCCTCTCAAACATGGCCACTGAACATGAGTGCCCCAAACCACACAGAGACCCTAGCTCTACATTCTCAGGACCATTCTTCTTCCAATGAGAGCCCTCTTTACAGCGATTACCAACCACCAGCTTATGACCTTCTTCCTGTACCCAAGGCTGTGCTCTACATGATCATGGCTGGCATGGTAGTGGTGGGTGTGGCTTATGCCATTATTGGTCACTTGATCAAGGACCTGGCACATGACTTGGCAGGTAAGTCTACCACACACCAACAGCAGTGATGCATATTAAGCTGTGCTCTGGGCAGCAGCCTTAAACAAATGCAGTTTATGTGCTAAGAAAAGCTTAATTCTGCTACCCATGTATCTATGCAAGCTTCGACAGTTATTTAATCTAATTTTATATGGCTTTGCTCATCCGTATTAGAACCAATGCTTTCCAAATTATTCATAAATTATCTGGAATTAGGAGTAAGTACTGAAGTGGTAAAGTTTGCTGAAACCAATTAACAGTGGTTAAATCAAAAGAACTGTGAGGAGCTTCAAAATGTCAAACCCAGTTCAGTGTAAGCAAGTATAGAGGATGTATATTGAGGGGAAAAAATCCCAGCATCAAGTATAAATTGATGAGATCTTAAGTAGCAGTGACTGATCAAAAAAAGGGATATTGGAGTTGGGGTTAAGAGTTCACTGAAAACATTGACTCAGTGTGCAACTGCTGTGAAAAAGGCAAACTCTATGTTAGGCATAATTAGGAGACATTGAAAATAAAACTGTCCATATCCTACCACCCTTACACAAACCTATGGTGTAACTGGACTTACAATACTACACACAGTTCACCAACCTACAAAAGGGTACTGTAGAGCTGGAGAAATGCAGAAAGGGGCAACTAAAATGATCAAGGGGTTGGAGAAACTCCTCCACAAAGAAAGGCTATCACTGCGATTGTTTAGCTCAAGAAAAAGCAAGCAAGCGGAGACATGACAAAGTTGCACAGAATTATGCATGGTGCTGAGGAAACATTTTTGTCTCCCATAATATTAGAACCTGGAGTTTCCCCCTGAAGTGGATTGGTGGGAGATTCAGGACACATAAAAGGAAGTTCTTCACAAGAGTGCATAGTTAAATGTTGAAATTCATACCCACAAACTGCAGTGGTGGCCACCAGTTTGGATGGTTTTAAAAGAGGTCTAGACAAATTCATAGAAAGTGGGGCTAACAAAGGCTACTGGCCCTGATGCCTACATGTTCCTCCAGCATCAACAAGTGTGCCAATGGATGCCAGCTGCTAACGAATTGGGCAGGAGGGTGCTGCTGCACAGCTGTCCTGCTACTGTGTGAATAGAACGCTGGACTAGGTAGACCCTCACTCTGATTCAGCAGGGCTCAAGTTCCTGCAGTTCCGCAGAATCTCAATACACAGTGGCCAGCTTTTAAGACTGCTTCACACATAACCTTTTTCATGGCCCAACTGCTGTATTTGAGACGTGGATATGAAAATGGTTTTCACACAGGACTGCACCTATGCACTGCTGCACCCAGTAACTGGCTGCTGTTCTGTTTTGGAGGTGAATGGATAGCAATTTGCTGGTGTGATCAGTTCATACAAAATGTTTTCAAGCATAGCCTTTTTTGACAGAATACCTTTCCTGCCTTTTCTAATTTGGACTGCATGAACCTATGGCTGCTAAACAAACATCCAAAAGGCCACAGGATATTTCAAAGCCTGAGCTCTGACCTCATAAACTCACTCCAAGGTTGGAGTTGAGACTCTAAGCTACTCCAGCCCCCATCCATTCAGAAAGAACCACACCAACTGCTTCTCTAAGGTCACAAACCTGACCTTGTAGAAGGGATTTTGTGGGCATTCTGGCAGGTGAGAATCGGACAGGTACTGCCATTGCACAAAGTATCCTGGTGGCACCAGCCTCCCTCCCTCATACTCCGTGACACCTCCCTCTACAATCCTTCTAATGTTAAGAAATGCTTTTTTACCTCTTTTGTCCCATTTCCATAATCATCTGAAGGTTAAAAAATCTGCACACACATCATACTTTTTATATGCATTTTATACTAAAATATGCATTTTATATACATTTTTGGTAAGTTTAAGCCAAAAACTGCATGGGGAAAAATTGGAGAACTGTGGAATTGGAAGGATAACTGTATTCTGTTCATCTGGTATGTGAAGTGCAAATCAGTTCAGCTCTCTTCCAAAAGTGTGCCAAACAAGATTTCCAAGCATGCCTAGCTTCTCAATATAGCTACTGTGCCATTAACATCTAACATTTTTTCTCATCTTGAAGCAGCTCAGGCATAAGAACACCATTATTCCCAAGAAATAAAAGCGAAGACTCTACCTTGCACATCAGCATTTGCACTTTTAACAGGGAGACCAGGCTTCAAATCCCCACTCAGCCTTAAGGCTCAGACAGTGGTAATGGGCAGGTCTACCTCAAAGGGCTGTTTTAAAGATTAAGGAAGTTAATGGCTCTCTCATTGAATGCTGTTGAGTAATTCCCTGCCTTCCTGGGAAGCATCTGAGAGTCAAACCCTTTCAAGATGCAGTCAAGTATGACATGAGTGCAGGAAGAGGTCAGAATGCTTTCTTCAAGTACTCGTAACACCCCCTTTTCCATCGTTCTTTTTCCACCTGCCCACCTGGAACTGAATGCAACCATCCTGAACTATTTGCTTGCCCTCCTTTCTCACGGAACTGTGCTGCAGTTAAACTGGGCATGTATCTTACACTGACTCTATCAAAAAGTGTTCTGCTGCAGAACAAAGTAATCATGTGCTGCAAATTTTAAAGTCAATCTGAAAGGAGACTACCTGTCCACACCAGCTAACTTTCACCAGGTTATTCGTGGAGTCTTAGGTGGGACACTATGTTATCCCTATCCAAGGCCTTGCACTCAAATGAGGATGAATGGACTGAACTGTCTTTCCTAGTCTGTTTCTCAGGAAGCAGGAAAGCCTCTCTGAATGCCTGTTCCCACAACCCCAAGCAAGAGAAGGGGAGGGCACTAGCTAGCCCATGATACTCAGCTAGAACTAGTAGCTGCATTTCATTTACATCAAGCCAGAGAGCAAGATTGTAATTCAGGGCTGCTATCCTCATCATTTTCTTTAGTGCCCAGATTCTTCCTCCTACATAAGTCTAAAGTGCTTTTCTTACAAAAGGGGCAAACTAGAGGGCAACTTTAAGACACAGGTAGGTAACCTGTGGCCCGCCAGATAACTTAACCTACAGTTGTCATTGACTCTAGCCAACAAAGGTAATAGTGAGGGTGGATGGAAGTTGAAGGTCAAAAGAACTGGAGGCCACATGCTGCCCCTTTCCCTGCTTTAAGGGATGGAGAATAGCACAATGGGACAGCATAAGGCCCCCGACCTATTTTTTAAGAGGATTTCAGGTGGCAGATTTAGGAGCTGAATTGCTTAAAACCTTGGAAACCCAGTGGTGCCACTTTGCATAGACAGTACTGGACTCACATAGACAAGGCAGGTTTCATATGTTCGTTCATTTCTCCTTTTAGACTGCCTGCTAGGTCCAGAGCCTGAGGAGTCTGACAAGGAACAGCCAGAACGCCTACCTCTTTCAGGCCTTCATGCCTCCCTTCCACCCAAGACTTGCACCTGCACTTGCTCAACGCACCACACTGAGGTGCACATAAACCTGGAAGAGGCTCCCCCGATGACGTAAGGACTGTGGAGAAGTGAGCAGCATGGCCATGCAGGAAGGGACAGTCGCACGAAGGGGCAGGATCAAGTTGTCAGCTTCTTGAGCTGCACAAGAGGGAACAGGCACAGTGGCTGGACAAAAGGTGTCACAGCACACAAAGGACCCGTCGACTGTGGGGAGGCAGTTGTGTCACCTGCTCCTGCCCAGAGTTGCGTAGATGCTGCCCCTTTGGGACTCATCTGCCTCCCCTCTGGCATGAACTCAGGCACCAGGAGACTTGTTTTAGTTTATAGCCTCAGCCCAAGCAGCATTAGCCACCTTTTCTTGCTTCAGAGACACTGCACCCCCTGCGCTGAGCGAGTTCTCTCTGCTGTGGCTGCTTTGGGGCTGAGAAGACAGCCATCTTTCACACCGGACAAAGAGGCAGAGACTGCCAGGCAAGAGATTTCAGGCATTTTGTTGGCAGAAGAAACTTCACGTGGTCAGGGATTTTGCCCCCAGTCACGGAGCAATCAAAGATTGAGGAATGTGAGGGCTCTAGCCCAGCTGTTCAAAAGAGGTATTTTTATACATTAAAAATAAATTCAAACTGTTTTGCTGCTGTTCCTCGTTGATAAATGTTACAGCCAATTGCAGTAGGCAACACAAGGGAGAGTAGCTCTCCTTTCTTCTGCGGCACTGGTCTGACCAGAGTTCTTGTTCTTTAGAGTCTGAGCATTATCATGCTCCAGCAAGACTCCCCAGAGCTGTACAACACATATTCCATCTTCGTTTAACTCCAGATCCAAACCATACCAATTCTGGTGCAGAGCTTGCTCAACTGAGGCTCTGAAACCTGCTTACCAGAGCAGCACTGTGGTGGCAAGGATAGTGGCCAAATATTCAGTGAGCCCCATGCCCAACATCTCCTCCCTCTACTTCTACAAGGAGGTGTCTTTCTGTGAGAAAAGGTGGCACAGACCCACCTATCATCCTCTCATGACATATCCTGAATCCTCCTCTAGAATATTCTTAAATCAACAAAGGTCCTGACCACTGGCTTCCAAGAGAACATGCCAGAGAAGAACTGGGAGCAGGAAGAAGTCTGTTGAATAGAAACATGGAGGCAAGATGGTATAGGGGAGGCGATAAGTTAAGCGGAAAGGAAGCTAGCAAAGGGGAGAGTGTGCTAAGTATATCAAAGCAAGAAGAGAAAGGGAAATGGCACATAGAGCAGAAGTGCAGGATGATGGTCTTTTCTGCTCCCAGGCAAGTGCAGGAGAGTCACATTGCCTCAGGATTCCATGAAGGTAGTGAAAGATATAGAAGTTCTTACCCCAATTGTGCCACATTTCCACAGGTCACAATGGCAACACTGCCTAGCTAGAGCAAGAGAGCCAGATTAGTGAAACTGTAGCTATGCCTGCCTGAGAATTTGCACTCTCACAGACTCCAGACTGAGACACTTTTAATGAATATGACTTGGGCTAGAAGGAAGGAAAGCCCACTCACTTTCGATCCCTCCAAATGATACAGCTTAGGGGTCCAACACAGGCAACCATATGCATGTTCCCCCAAAGGAAACAGAACTGTGGGGCAACTGTGACTGGCCCCCATGAAAGGCTCCAGCAAGGAGCACTGCTAATAAATAGGGGAGTTTGAAGAGAAAGACTAGGCGTCCAAACGGCAAAGTGGGCTGTCGTATACCATCTGCAGATTGACTTTGTGACCAACCAGCTCCCGGATATTATTGATACCATACTTGATCATGGTGGGCCTGGAAGATAAAAGGGAAGAATTTCAGCTCTTAGAAATTATTTATTTATAAGGTTTTAGGGCAATTTTCCAAAAGGAAGCAAAATGCTTGAGAACAGAAGAAACCATTATTAAAATCAAAACAGGCAGTAGCGCTATGCCAGGCCAGGGGTAACTAATGTAATAGGGATATAACAGACCAGGAATAGGAACTGCAGCTATTGGGTGGTATAAAATGCAACACACACACATTCACATACACACAAATATTAATTCAGATATTTTGGACTACAACTTCTACAGTCTCTGACCACTGGCCAGGGTTTATGGGAGTTGTATTGCAAAGAGCTCAGTGGCACCTTATTAACTACCCCTGACCATAGTGGCGACTCAGGGAAAAGAACATGTCCCTGAAGGTAATGCTGGTGCAGTTCTCAGAACAGCCCAAGAGCGCATTCCCCCATCCTCTGGCATTCTAGAGGTACCAAATTCCTTTTGTCTCAAGCCAGCAGCTCAACATATATGCGCTACAGGTGCTTGATCCAGGAGAACAACCTGCTGACGATGTCCCAGAAAAGAGGTGGGTGAACTTTAATTCCCCAGAGGTGAGAAGGGCACACAACTTGGGTCAGGTCGCATGGCTGAGATTAGAATGCTGAAGGGAGAAGGTGCCAACTGCAGACTAAAGCTGTACTAAGATTAGTTTCAGCCCCATCTTACTTAAGAGTCTTTAAAAGGTGCAATGTGAGTTAAGGAGGCTGTTGGCCCAAACTGCAGGCACAGGAAGAGCCCAGCATAGAAGCCCCCTGTAGACCACAACAGCAATAACTTATGAGTGGAAGAGTCAGTACCCCACACCCCAAGCCACTTACCGTTCCAAAGACAATCCCCAGGCAGTGACAGACACCCCATCAGGCAGGCCCATAGGCAGCAGCATCTCTGGGCGGAAGACCCCCGAGTTGCCCACCTCCATCCATTTCTTCAATCCTGTAATAAAGTGCTCAGTTTTTGTCTAGTAAACTTGAGGAACTGTGATAGGAGTGTGACAGGAGAGCCAAGGGTCTTGGACACGAGCAGGATCAGGCTCTAAGCTTGGTTGCTGGAATCCAGTTTCCACTCTATCCTCCTGGGACATGGGACAAGATATGTGTGAATGCAGCTGCTGCCCAAGAAAGAGGCACACACATTTTTATGCCAGGCGGGTTGCCAAGAAGGCAAGAGGGATGGGATGGATCATATTATGCAGTTTTTTTAAAAAGTAGGGAAGGCAGTCATAAGCTCATGCAAAGTATTTTCCAGGTTAAATCAAAGAGTTGCATTTTACCATTTGACTGGCACTAAGGCGGTCTTGAAAAGCAGAGCAGAGGTGAATGGCCAGAAGTCAATATGGGCAAAATCACACACTGCAACTGATGAGGTAATAACAGCTACTGTCTCAACCTCAAGGGGCAAGAGCAACATGAGGGATGGCTTTTGAAAGCCTAAATGGCTTAAGCCCTTACCCAGGAATCTAGTGGACTACATATCAAAGAAAAATGAGAGCACAGAAACATTCCATTCTGGGGTTCCTGTTGCCTGGAAGTCTTTAAAACATTTTGCCTTATGAAAAGGAACAGATATAAACAGAAAATGTGGAGGCCTTTTCAGAATATGCTTGCACACAACTCTTTTGCTTTCTCAAGGGTTTCCCCTCTAAAATAGGGATGAAAAACATGGTATTTGCTTTCTGCTCATTTTTCAAAGTATTTATGGAAGTCTTATATTTTACAGGTGGAAAATAATGAAGGTTGAATTTGAAAAATATGAAAAACATTAATTTCCAGCAAACAGTTTCATGAGTCCTGCATCTAATGTGAAGGACTGGGAATATTGTTGCTGTGTTCTGAAAAAGCATGGGGGCACGCCACTTAAACTTCAGACGCCTGAGTCACCTATGAATAGGAAATCCTATGAATAGATGGTGAGGCACATGCTGCTAGGCTGTGTCAACACAGTGGAAAAGTGTCCTAATTTTTTTGCAACTGCATGAGTCATAAGGGGATTATCAAAGGCTAAATTGGGGACGGTTGGCATTCCTTCTTAAGGTGGTGCATGCATGATTCCTCTTAGGCAAATACACAAAAAGTTAGACTGCTTGTTTGCTCTGTTCCCTCCAAAGCTGCCTCTGTTTGATGTGACTAACCTCTCCTGGGAAGGCACTTCTGATGAGCTCAGTTTCTACGAAGCCCATTTTAATTCCCATCAGGAAATGTTGCCAGAGACAGGTAGGACTCCTATGGCTCAACACTGCAGCTTCTAAGATTACATACACCCCATTTCTTTACACTCACCCTGGTGGTAACTGAAGATCTCCATGCTGGGCTCTGTGTAAGGATTGTAGGCAGGCTTGAAGCGCAGCTGGGTAATTCCTGCCAGAGAAATGGGAAGTTGGGACCTGGAAACAGAGAAGGCAGCACTCAAGCAGCCTCTCTCCTAGACCACTGCCCCTTCCCAGGTCTGCCCCGTTCCTATCTGTTCAACTTGCTTCCTCTCTTTCAGCAGCTCTTACCCAATTTGTTGAAAAACTCTTTCAGGACACCCATCAGGTCCCCCAGTGTCAAGCCATAATCGGCAACCACCCCTTCGATCTGGTGGAACTCTGCCAGGTGGGTGGCATCCAGGGTCTCGTTCCGGAAGACACGGTCGATAGAGAAATATTTGACTGGGATAAACTTCTCCTGTAGAAAAAGGAGTTGCCATAAACTGCACATCTCACCTTGGTCTGAGTATTTCTGTCTCAGCAGAGAGACTGCCCCAGCCTCGAGTTAGTCTTGTCCTACAAGCCTCAGATGAGGCCTGCCATTACTTGACACTAGCCTTCTCCGACTTCCATAATACCCAGCTGGCATGGCATGCTGACTGAGGATGATAGGAAATACAATCCAACACATATGGAAGACACCAGGCTGAGGAGGGCTGCTTTAAGTCTTTCAATGGTTTGGCATTTTTTCCAGACATTCCCGATGTAGGCAGGATACCCCAAATCAGGAAGAGCATTAATAGGTAGTTACCTGCTGTGCCAGCTGATAGAGCATGCGGGCACTAACAGCGGTGGTGTGCGTCCTTAGGAGGTTCTTCCGAGCCTCCTCCAGCTTCCAGTCATATTTGTACCTGAACAGGAGAGTTAATGAATGGAAAGGAAGAGAAATGTGGGGTATGATTCTGGCTGCTACTATCCCAGGTAGTTACAAGGTCTAACCTTTTATTTAAGGTGCTGGTGATGACTTACAAGGCCCTAAATGGCTTAGGACCTGGTTACCTTAAGGAGCATCTCCTTCCATATGCATCTGCCCACCCCTTAGATCTGGGCCAGAGGTCCTTCTTCAGGAGCCTTCCTTGAAGGAGATTAGGAGGGTGGTTACCTGGAGAAGGGTCTTTTCTGTGGTGGCACCCTGACTGTGGAAAACACTCCCTGGAGAGGTTCACCCAGTGCCGTCACTTTATTCTTTTTGGTGCCAGGACCCTTTTTTATTTTCCCAATATTTTAATACCTGACTGTTATTAAAAATTGATCAGGATTTTTATTTTATTTTTTGTTTTATTGTTAAACTGTCTGGAGACTTTGGTAAGGGACAGTCTAAAAAAGTTTTAAATAAACAAACCTGAAAAGAAGCATAACGGTTCTTGCTCTGTAGAGTCAGACAGGGGGAACAGTTTACCCATGAGACAAGGGTATGTGTGCGTTTTAACAGATTCCCATTTCCAACTGATACCAATCCAGAAATTATTTTCCTTACACATAAAGATGTGTGCCTCAACTCCTCTGCCCATTGCAAACTAATAGGACACAGGTACCGCATCCAAAAGTACAGTGGCCCTATGAATCATAAGAGGTTAAGCTCCACCCAAATGACAGCATCAAGTCCTTCCTCCGCTCATCCTTGTGGCACAAGATGAATCAGAGAGAGAAGAAACTGAGGAACAGGAGAAAGAGCCCTGTACTACAGGAGATAGTAGTGAGCCTTCCAGTGTCCTGAACAAGGCATCACATACCTCTAAGGCTACTAGGCAGACGCACGCGGCTGCGACCTCGACGGCAGCCAGCTCCACCGGCCAGCGCGGCCGCACGCGGCGCCGGAGAGCGCCGCCCGCCGGCCCAGGTGATCGGGCGCGCGCGGTGCGCGATGGGGTGGGTCTCGGAGGCGCTCTGCGGAGTCAAAGCCGCGGCAACGGCCAGGAGGGAACGGCCCCCCAGGCAGGAAACACCGACCCCGCGCTGCAAGAAACGCTTCCGCCCACCTCCAGCATCACGCCGCTCCCGGGCAAGTGAATGCAGGCAGACGCACGCGGCTGCGACCTCGACAGCAGCCAGCTCCACCGGCCAGCGCGGCCGCCCGCGGCGCCGGAGAGCGCCGCCCGCCGGCCCAGGTGATCGGGCGCACGCGGTGCGCGACGGGGCGGGTCTCGGAGGCGCCCTGCGGAGTCAAAGCCGCGGCAACGGCCGGGGCCGGCGGCCGAAGGGCGGCGGCCAAAGGGGTCGCCGCCGTTTGGGGTGCCGTTCGGGGGGACGAGAGGGGGGCTGGGCTGGCCATGGACTCTTGTTGAAATAGGCTTGCCTACTGCTGATTCTCAGGGAAGAGGAAGGATCCCCTTTTTCTTTTCTTTTTTTCTTTTTATCGTTCTTTTTCTCCTCCTTCGACCTACTTTATAATCTTACCCTGCTTTAATCAGTGCTTTGAGTCATTCCTGGCCATGTCGACGTTTATATATCCTGGGGAACCCACGGGGGCTGCTATTGGCGTGGTCACGGGCAATGGTCGTTACAACAATAGGGGCTTAACGTGTCCACGTAGAAGAAGGATAGACAGATGGCTGACACCTGTCCCTCCTTCTGATCCTGCCCCCAACCAGAGGGCGCCAGGTAGCCTTGTCAACCACCCCTCGGGTCTGACGGTGCTGCTGCTCAATGCCAGGTCGATCAATAATAAATCTTCCCTCATCTATGACTTGATTGTGGATGAGGGGGCCGACCTGGCTTGCGTAACGGAGACCTGGGCGGGAGAGGGAGGGGATGTTGCCCTCTCCCAATTGTGCCCGCCCGGGTATCTGGTTCAACACTGTTCACGCCCAGAAGGGAGGGGAGGGGGAGTCGCGTTGGTTTACAGAGCCTCCATCTCTCTCACGGGTCTTCCGGTCCCTTTGAGACCAGGGCTGGAGTGCCTCTACTTGGTGTTGGGTGAACGAGACAGATTGGGGATTCTATTGGTGTACCGTGCACCTTTCTGCCCAGCAGTCTCCCTATCTGAGCTGACAGAGACCGTCTCGGACCTGGTGTTGAGGACCCCCAGGATGTTGGTCCTGGGGGACTTCAATCTCCATGCCGAGTCTGGACTGACCGGGGCGGCTCAGGACTTCATGGCCTCTATGACGGCCATGGGCCTGTCTCAACACGTCATTGGCCCGACCCATGAACGTGGACACACTCTGGACCTGGTATTCACAACGGGGCAGGTAGAGGATGACCTGAGGGTGAAGAACTTATGTTTGACTCCCCTGTCATGGTCAGATCACCTCCTGGTGAGGTTTGTGCTCGAGAGTGGCCTCTCTCTCTATAAGAGTGCGGACCCGATTGTATGGGCCCGCCCCCGGAGCCGGATGGATCCGGATGGATTCCTGGGGGCCCTGGGGGAGTTTCCGGCTGACAAGACTGGTGCTCCTGTTGAGGCTCTGGTCGAACTGTGGAACGGAGAGATGACCAGGGCTGTGGACACGATTGCTCCTAAGCGTCCTCTCCCACCGGGCAGAGTCCGCTCTTCCCCTTGGTATACACCTGAATTACGGGCGATGAAGCGAGCTGGGAGACGGCTAGAGCGTAGGTGGAGGAAATCACGGGATGAATCTGACCGAACACACTTGAGAGCCCACTATCGGGCCTATTCTGTGGCGGTGAAGGCGGCGAAAAAGAAGTTTTTTTCCGCTTCCATTGCCTCCTCACAATGCCGTCCAGCGGAGCTTTTTCGAGTGGTGCAAGGCCTGGTTCGCCTGGGTCCTAAGGAAGATCCGATGCCACCCTCAAAGGCCCGCTGTGACGACTTTGCCAGGCATTTCAGGGAGAAAATCGCTCAGATTCGTCACGAGCTGGACTCCACTAATGAATCAGAGGTCTCTGAGGAGTCGCCAATGCCACCGTCTGGTCCAAAATTATTGGAGGAATTTCAATTATTGCGGCCCAATGATGTGGACAAGGTGCTTGGAAGAGTACGTCCCACCACTTGCCTATTGGATCCTTGCCCGTCTTGGTTAATAAATAACTCCAAGCACGGGATTGGGACCTGGATTTTGGAAGTGGTTAACGCTTCTCTGAGGGAGGGTCGAGTGCCTGCGCCTTTAAAGGAGGCTGTAATACGACCGGTCCTGAAGAAAGCGTCACTGGATCCAGAGATGGCCACTAACTATAGACCTGTGGCCAACATCCCGTTTCTGGGCAAGGTGTTGGAGCGAGTGGTGGCGGGACAACTCCAAGCACTCTTGGATGAAACTGATTATCTGGATCCTTTTCAGTCCGGCTTCAGACCCGGGTACAGTACTGAATCTGCCTTGGTCGCCCTGTACGATGACCTGTGCAGGGAGAAGGACAGGGGGAGTACATCCCTGTTGGTTCTTCTGGACCTCTCGGCGGCTTTCGATACCATCGACCATGGTATCCTTCTGGATAGACTTGCGGGATTGGGGGTTGGAGGCACTGCTTTGCAGTGGTTCCGCTCCTATCTCGACGGTCGATTCCAGAAGGTAGTGCTGGGGGACCATGTCTCTACGTCATGGCAGCTATGCCATGGGGTACCACAGGGCTCCATTCTATCCCCTCTGCTATTTAACATCTATATGAAACCGCTGGGAGAGGTCATCAGGAGGTGTGGGCTGCGGAATCATCAATACGCTGATGATACCCAGCTTTACCTCTCGTTCTCCACTAATCCAGGTGAGGCAGTGGCTGTGCTGAACCAGTGCTTGGCCGAGGTAAGGGAATGGATGAGGGCCAATAAACTGAAACTCAACCCAGACAAGACGGAGGTCCTGTTGGTTGGCGGATCGAGTTTCGGAGAGGGTGGATTTGACCTGGTCCTGAATGGTGCAACACTCCCTCTTAGGGATAAGGTCCGCAGCTTAGGAGTACTCCTCGACCCGGAGCTTTCTTTGGAAGCTCAGGTGACAGCGGTGGCGAGGAACGCCTTCCTTCAGCTTTGGCTGATTAATCAGCTGCGCCCCTACCTGGAGTACGACTGCCTGGCGACGGTGACACACGCGCTGGTGACTTCCCGCCTAGACTTCTGTAACATGCTTTACGTGGGGCTTCCCCTGAAGACGGTCCGAACACTTCAATTGGTGCAAAATAGAGCTGCCAGGTTGCTGACGGGGACGGGGCGTTATGCTCACATGACTCCAGTCCTCCGTCAGCTTCACTGGCTTCCCATTGAAGCCCGGGCCCAATTCAAGGTGTTGATTATGACCTACAAAGCCCTAAACGGCTTGGGTCCTGGCTACCTGAACGAGCGCTTACGTCCGTATATGCCCGACCGCCCTTTGAGATCTGCGGGAGAGTCCCTTCTCCGGGAACCCTCCATGAAAGAAATTAGGAGAGTAAGTACCCGGAGGAGGGCTTTCTCTGCGGTGGCGCCCAACCTATGGAATTCACTCCCCAAAGAGGTCCGCCTGGCACCGTCGTTACTGGTTTTTCGGCGCCAGGTAAAGACCTTTTTATTTAAACATCATTTCAATTGTTAAAACATATGATCTGGCCTGGGCAACTTCTTCTTCCTTCTCTTTCTCATCCTATATTTTTATTTTATACTGATAATTTTAATTTTGTATTTGTAAATCAATGTATTTTTTGTATTTTTATATTTAATGGTAATTTATTATGTACTATTGTATTTCAATGTATTTTATCATGTTGTAAGCCGCCCCGAGGTTTCGGCAAGGGGCGGCATAGAAATGTTATAATAATAATAGCATCTACTGGAACCCCTCTAGTTTGCTTTTTGACTTCAGGGCCCAAAATGAGAACAAAAAATTATGATCTCACCCTTGAGAGCCATAGCCTCCTTGTGAATGAACCCTCTTTACCCTCTTCAGATAATCCATGGGGAAGTCGGTGGCTTCAGCAGGATCTGGAAGGAGCGAGACAGGGGGAAGTGAGTGGGTGTGTAGGGACTCCATGCAAAACAAATGCACAATAAAGAGACTGGAGTCAGTTTCCCTATTATTCTGCAGACCTAGGCTTAGACAGAAGAGGAAATGATGCCTATGGTGAGCTTAACCAGTGCTACCTCACTTTCTGAAGCAAAATGGGTGCCTATCCCAGTGAACCCGAGAGCATGTGGAAGAATAGCCCAAGGAGCAGGACATACAATTTTTCCAGCCTGTGGGCACATTTAGAATAGTGAGAAAATGACAAGGATGTAATCACAAAATGAGTTCAGTCACAAAAATGGCAAGAAAGTAAACTTCAGTTACTGTAAATAAAAAGTGGTTCCTCTTGAATTTGTGTGGCTTTGCTTAAATAGCATGAGGGCAGGCCATGTTAAACTTACGCAAATTTTGGAAGATCCATTTTAAATTCTATTCTGATCTTATACAAAAGCAAAGTGTATGATGATGCACACATGTCCATGCTCTAATTGTGCATCAGGATAGGCAATGCTTCTCCTATATAGTGAGACACATGCTCTTCTCTGAATGGTTGAAGGGACAGCTTCCTCTGTGTCTGTATTCTTCTCTCTACATCATCCTACTGACCTTCTCCGCTCTGCAATCCTAAGTACCTGCTTTTCTTTTTCTTCCTCCTGCTTTGGGCCGGCAGTGACACTTCTGCATGAAACCACTTAACTCCCATACAAAAGTGCTGCCCAACTGGATGAGCGGCTGGTGCGGCAGCAGGTCTCTGTGAGACTTGCACACTGATCACTCCACTATGATCTGTGACTGGCCCCGCAAAAGTGGAATTCCAAGGTTACAGCTTGCACCCTGTATATGAGCCAAGCAACAGGACTGACCCTTGAGAAAAAAGGTGTCATGCTGGTCCCGGGCTGGATGTTGCTGTGGTTGGAAGAGGGCGTCGAAGTTCCAGAAGGAGCTCTCAATGAAGTTATTAGTGGGCATTTCTGTAAAACTGAAAAAGGGTAAAAACAAGCACAAAGCCAACTATTACAAGGACAGATCAAAGGACTGACTTCTGACAGAACATGGGAATGTTCTCCTATTAGCACAAGAGAAGCCATCAAAATATACTCAAGCCTGGACAAGGAAGGAGGCAGGGGAAACATGACCACAGTGTTTTGCCAACACTATGTTCCTCACAGGAAATCACCTACATCATGGGTCCTCAAACTACGGCACATGGGCCGGATCTGGCCCACCACAGAGGTTTTGGACTTGCTGCATGTGCACATGCACGCGCATGGTGAGGTGGGGGCTTGCTTGTGTGGAGATCGTTCTGGACTCGCTCGGAGAAAACAATCTCCTTGCAAGCAAGCCAGTCCCTCACCTGCACCGCCTTGGCGACCCATGCCCATAGCCGGCACCTTTCAACTGGTCCTCTGTTAAAAAAAAGTTTGAGGACCCCTGACCTACATGAACAAGTTAATGAAAGCAAGTTACTTGGCTCTCCCCAGCAGACTAAGCATGCCTTTAAGTTTAGTACAATTCACTATCTCCCAGTGAAAAGAAGGAATGATGCACGGAATCTTAATGGAAGATTTGTGCGCAATGCATCTCCTCCAACAGCAAAAAGCCAGCTAAACTAGCCTATCAAAGCGCACGTAGTACTATAGAGCATGTCTTGCCTCCCATGGCTGCCACTGTGTTTATATTTCAAAGTAATATAATACGTACCCCATTTCAAGGAAAATCTGTCGGAACTGGCTGCGGACTTTTAGCAGTGGGTGCAGATGGCCACTTTCTGGCATAATGCCCATTGCCTCAAAGTTATAAGCCTTGAAATTCAAGTCTCTCCAAGAACCACTGCAAGTGTGAAGAGGGTGAGGTGGAGGGAGAAGAGAGATTTAACTTTGTACAGACTATGGTTATTTTCATATCACCTTCCACAGACCTATGAATCTGTCCTTGATGAAAAAAGTAATCCCTTCTATGCCACAGAAGGCAGCAACCAACTCCATGTATGTATGTATGCATGCATATATGGTATTTATATGCCACCCCATACCCTGGGAACTCTCTGGACAGCTCACAAGAAAACATGTAATGGAAATCATGTAATGGAAAGCAAGGAGGTCAAAAATCCTGCCAAAATGGGTTGTGAGATGGCATCCAGGTCAGTGTCCCAGGACAGTTGAGAAGGTACTGGTGAATCTGGATTTCTGACTATGGAGCCAATAATTATACCGCCATTGTTCAGGCCCAGAATATAAGAGCAGGTTGCAGACTAAAGTGCCATCTTGGGAGGCATAAATCCAAGCCTGATAAAGAGCTCAATCCCTGCTACTAGTCCCACTGTGGTAACTCACCTAGCAATCATCTCCGAAGTGAGGTCTGCTTCTTGCTTGGCGACTGTAGTACTAAAAGCATTCCCTTTTTTGATCCAGTATGTCTTAACAGTCCTGAAAGCAAATGCAAACCTTTGCTGCGACTTCTGAAGTGCAAGGAGTATCCCAGAAGAGACAAGGTTTAGCAATCTCTGGCTTACTAAAGCAATGCCTTCAAATTACTATCACTGAACCCATGACATCTGGAATACTTCCTGCCCCCTAGTCTTGATTCCATTTCCAATGCGGAAGACTTCCCTAAAACTATCAGACCAGATCCAACAAGACATAAGGGCAGGATGAGAGAAGTACAATGGGTTGTAGAAAAATGAAAACAAGCTTGAATACTTAAAAAAAGAAATAACTCTTTAGTGTGAATGGTATTGCAATAGGAAGTAAACTTGGTTGACTTTTGATACTGGTAAACTTTTAAAAGTGTTGGCCCTTTATTGAAGAACTCTGGATAAAGTTTCCTCTTTTAAAGCATAACAAAGGGAGACGAGAGGAACCAATATGCTTGTGGGCAGAACTGAACTTAGCAGTTCAACTCGGATTCAACTGGATTCAATATGAAGGGGTCATGGCACAGGTTCAATCCCTGTTATCTCCAGGGAGGACTAAGGAAAGAATCCTGTCTGGAATCCAGGAGAGTCTCTGCTCATCTGCATGGGCAATACTGAGTTTGATGGACCACTGATCCCATCAAAGCCATGGAGAAACTCAGCCAGTCTTACTGAGCCACTGTTCCCCTCTGTCAATGAGGTAACTGAAAAGTGCTTTCCCAAGAACATTCCCCCATCCAAATGCTTTGCCTCATTATTCAGACAAAGAAAATAGTCCTTGGTCTGAAAAATACATACAGATGGAGCACAGCACATGACCGGAGTAGCCTGCACTCAAATGGTCTTAGCACCACAACTAAGGAGACCTGCTTCACTGTCGTGGCTGTTGTCAAGGGTAGGCATGGTTGGTTCCCTGCCAAAGGCCCATGTCCCGGCAGGGCCCAATGAACAAGTGCTCCTTGGACTCCCTCTTTCTCTTTACCACTGCAGAAAGTGATGGTAGAGAGCTTGCTGGGTAGGTTCAGCAACAAAAAGGAGCAGCCTCAGGAGTGGGTGACAGCGGGCTAAACTCACACTTCTGACAGCAGCTTCCGTTTCTTTAGTTCATTCTTGTCCTTCTCTTCTAGGTTGTCAGCCTCTCCCTGATGTACCTGGAGCAGTTTCTCCCTCACAGAGTCCTGTACTGCTTCCACCTAGAAAGAGAGAAGGGAGGTTCTTTGAAGACAGAGCTTGATGTTCCTTCAGATGGAAGGTGCCTTAAGGCAAGCCAACATGTATATTTTTCTACACCTTTTCTGCCATACGGTATATTGTTCAACTAGTTTTAGCAGAAGGCAGTGTAATTTCCTATTAAAATGAGAACCCAAGACAGATGGAGAACTGAGACTACTCACCACCCGGAAGACTCGGGGGCCATCTTCAGAGCTCTTGTCTAGCTGGATCCATTTGTTGGACATTGCTTTGCTGAATCCTACTTTGCCACTTGGCAGCTTCTACAGTGAAACAAAGAAAACATTGCCCTGTTAGTTGCACAGTCAGATCAAAAGCTACACAACCAAATACTCCCAACAGGTACGACAGCCTCAGACAAAAAGGGAGAGGAATGGAGAACCTGCAGAAAAGGTAACACCTGGGATGGGTAGACAGAAGATCCAGGACTACTACTAATCAAGGTATGAGGCTGGAAGAAGGGATTTCTTTTTACCATTAGTTCACTCTGGACCAGGCCCTCAGAAGGGATGCTGTTAAACACCCGGACTTCATGGCTGCCTTCCTGGATAATTTCATGGCCTTCAGGTGTCAGCTCCCACTTCTTGGATGTGCGCTGCTCTGCCTCAATCACCTAAAAAACCAATTGAGAATGTATTCAAGGGTAGAAAACAACCAAACAAGCCGTTATAGCAAGATGGCAGTGGAAACAATTACCTAAGGAGGTGGCAGCCTCTCTCACACCGGAGGCATTCAAGATACAACCAAAAAAACAAAACAAAACCTGGGTGGAACTGAAGGGGCAATAAAGCTGAATCCCCTGAGGAAAGAACCACAAACGTCCTGAACCAAAATTCAAACACAGAGCATGTGAACCTGTTCACAGTCCACAGTCACACAGTTTCAGTGTGTGCTTCCTAATGGAACAACTGACAGAGGGACCCCCATCCATTGTAACATTCTCTAGACACACCCATTGTCCCTTGAGATCTTTTAAGACAAAAGAAATAAAATGTTGCAATTGGCAGGCTGCATAATAAAGTAAGAGATAAGGGATACCCCCTCCTCCCAAAATTGTTGTGTTATATAATACAATTTTCTTCACTCATGGTTTACCATTAAATATCAACGTATTAAGTTGTCTCTTCCATAACAATAACTGTGCCCTTGGTACTGTAAGTGGCAAAGTTCTAAATAAAAATAATTAATGAGGGAAAAGCATTATTTTTACTGCTGTTAGCCAATCCATAATAGTCGTATTTTTCCATCTACTACCTCTGCTGAAATCAATTTGCAGACCCTATTATAATTTGCATTGCAAAACATTCAAAATTCTCCGCAAGAAGAGGACAGTCCTGTTTTGTTCCATGACAAAGAGTAACACAGTTTGAATCCATATGATTTATTCTCAACTTGGCCCAACTATCTGAATATATCTGCATTACTATAAGAATATATGCAGTGCCAAATCTCATTTTTAGATTAAACCAATGAAAAAACCCATTCTGCACAATCAAAAGTTTTAAATATATCTAATAAAAAACAGTCAAAGAAGACTTTTTAATTTCATCGCTATGTATAATATTTAACAATTTGAAGATGAAATCCATAATCTGTTGGTGAAGAACAAAACCAACCTGATCTACATGTATATAAGGACTCAATATCTGCTTCAATCTATTGGCCATCACAGCTGCAAAGATCTTATAATTCACATTCAATAGTGCAATTGATGTGTAAGATTCAACCAATGCAGGACTCTTAAAGGGCTTTTGGAATAGCAAAAAAATTTGCAATTCTGAGGAACAGGATCTCCACAAAGAATACCATTGGATAGACTAATCAATGTAGCGTTACTAAATCTCTAAACTGCTTATAAAAAAGGGCACAGAAACCATCTGGCCCAGGTGCCCTATTGTGTTTCACCTTCTTTAATATTTCAAGAATCTCATTCATCTCAACTCTAACATTTAGTATTTCTCTGTCTAAAGCAGATAATATTAGGAGAGATGCCGAGTTCAAATATTCATCAATAACTGCAAGGGAAGGAGAGGAAGAAGTATTGAGAGTTGAATAAAAATACCTGTAAAAAGGTAAAGGTTTCCCCTTGACGTTAAGTCCAGTCATGCCTGACTCTAGGGGGCGGTGCTCATCTCCTTTTCCTGGCCGAGGGAGCCAGTGTTTGTCTGCAGACAGTCTCCGTGGTCATGTGGCCGGCATGACTAAACACCGAAGTGCACAGAACGCTGTTACCTTTCCACCGAAGTGGTACCTTTTTATCTACCTGCATTTGCATGCTTTCGAACTGCAAGGCTGACAGGAGCTGGGACGAAGCAACAGGAACTCACCCTGTTGTGCAGATTCGAACAGGCAACCTTTTGATCAACCAGCCCAGCAACACAGCAGTTTAAACCACTGCGCCACCTGCATCCCTAAAAATACCTGAACTCCTCACAAATTTGGTGACTTAAGTTCCCCATTTTGTCTTGTAAACAGTCTATCATCAGCTTTTCTCTTTTTTTCCTTAAATGATTAATGGTAACTCTTGAGTCCTATCCTCTGTATTCATAAAATGTTTGTTGCAGATAAATTGGATTAACTGAACTCTTAAAAAAGCCCCTTCAATCCTTTCCTCTTTTGGTCATATAATGTAAACATTTTTTAAAGATCCTGATTGATTATATTGCTTACAAAATATAATCTTACAGGCTTCTTCCTCTTCCTGTAATCTTTCCCTTACAAGGGATAGCCTCTTTTATTAAGGAAAAGGCTACTTTTCCTGAATACACATCCTTCTTATTACTGCCTTCATAGCCTCCTATAGGGCTGTAGGTATTTTCTCTGTAAAGTATTTGACTAAAGGTTGACAGATTGCTTCTTGTGTTGGCCGATTACTCAGTAAAATGGGACTAAAGGATCATGACGGGGAGTATACAACTGAATCAGACAAACGTAAATCCATACTAACAGAAGCACTATCTAAGACTTGAATAAGCCCTATGTCAGTCTTGCTCACTGATGCAGCAAGGACTGGGAGACCAGTAAATAGTCCATCCTTGACTCTGATGCCTTGCAGATTGGTCAGTGAAGTATTTATTTCTTAGGTTCAATTCACCCCACTCCCCAAACCTCAAATCCTTTTATGAGCTTCAACTGATCCTTAAAGTAATCTACATTACCCTGTAAATGGACTTGCTTCCATTCATTAGCATACAAACCTCTAAAATTCAGACCTCATCTACATCTCCCTGATATCAAGTCCCCTTTCATAAAGCCTCTTAACCTTTTAAATATTTTACTAAGGAACTTCATCTACCCATAGTTTGATGCATATAGATTCCAATGTGAGTGGTCTTATAACTTCAAACACACCTTTAACAAAGATAAACCTACTTTCCCTGTTATTTTTACCACTTTGAAATCAAAATGTACATGTAATGGCCACTCCATTTGATTTAGCAGTACCAGGCATGTAAAATTGTTGATGAAACATGGAGTGCTTCAACAGTTTCTCTCCCTTTTATAAATTGCTAGCAAAAACAAGATTGTAGATTCATTTTTGTAAGACAATCTATAATTCTTGATCTTCACAGACCAAGAGGGGCCATACAGTCACTGATTTCTGGAGGTTAGACTAAGTAAATTCTTATCTGACCTGCAGGGGCAGATGATTCTTTCACCCCCCCCCCCCCCACACACTTCTTTTCTTCCCTGTCTAGGACTCCCCCACTATTTCTCATTGTGGTTCTGAGATGTAATTATTGTGATGCTAATTCACAAACTTTCTATCTCAAATGTGTTTAGTATATCTCCTGCTTCTCTCTTGCTTGTAGCTGAAAATGCTGTATTTCTCTGAACAACCATCAGTCCAAATGAAAAGCCCCATCAATATTGAACTCCTGCTTCCTGCAATTTTCTAGTATATGGGCACAATACTCTTCTTTTGGACAGTGCCTCGGGAGCAAGATGTTGCAGTACCATAGATGGCTGATTCTCATAACTGTTCCTAACCAGCAAAAAGTTCTTTTTTGTCAGAACTCAATGCTGTTTATGTTATCATAATTCCTAAACCTAACAGAGATACTTATTGTGCTATTATTGAGCAATTTCATTGATTAATGTTGACATCAAAATGTTAACTGCAATTTTGACTGATAGGCTACAGCAAGTTATTACAATGTTTAGTCCAATAGGATCAGATGGGGTTCATTAAAACCTGATGGGGGCTGATAATTTCAGACTGGCTGTTGATCTGATTGCATTTAAAATGGAAGAGATACTGCTGCCATTGTTTCTTTGGATGTAGGGAAGCCTTTGACCAAATTCACAGGACATTTACTTTGGCTAAACTGAGAAATGCTGGTTTTCCTGCAGAATTTCAAAAATGGGATTAAAATCTATATTCACTTCCAAGAGCACCATCAATGGGGTTTTTTGGTCTGCTTTTTTTAAGTTGAGAATGCTATCAGACAAAGATCTCCACTCTCTCCTCTGATATTTGTAAGCCGCCCCGAGGCTTCGGCGAATGGGGCGGCATAAAAATGTTTTAATAAATAATAAAATAAATATTTGACTTGAGCAGAGTCAGAACTGCCAGTTAACTAGCATACTATGGCATGTAGTATTCCCAATTTCATAAATTCCTATGGGTCCCATTCCACCATAAACATCCTTGAAAAGAGAGTAACTTTCTTCTAAACAGAGTAGATTTGGCTTCTAAGATGTCTTTATACCATCAGGCCTAAGTTTTGACTTCTATTAAATATTGGTCTTTTCAGCTCTGATTAGACTTTTCTCCTGATTGGTTTTGGAGTATTCATAATTAGATCATCTCTCCAAAAAGAAAGAACTAGGTTTCTGGTATATCAAAACAGAAAGGGTGCCACTAGTTACAGCAGGAAGAGAGGAGTGGTGCATAATTTTACATCAATTGCAGTATAATCTACTTTCATATCCAAACTTAAGGAGAAGGAAAAAAACCTCTGCCCACTTTCTCCTCCCCTAACAAGTTCTCTAAACTTCTCCCTTCCTCCCCTGCTCCCATCACACTAAAACCTGGGGCCAATCCAATGAATTGTTGATGAAGGACAGACAAGGAGAAGTTCTATTGCATGCAGTGCACAGTTAACATCTGGATTTTATGCCACTAGATAGCATAAAGTACACTACAAAACTATTAGACAAATTTAGAGAAGGGAAAGCTAATAAAGCCTCCTAGCCCTAGGTTCAAAGGCACATACTTCTCAGTATGTTAGCAGAGAACATCAGCAACAGAGAATTTTTGCCCTCATGTCATGACTGCACAATTACCAGAGGCATTCAGTTGGCCACTGTGGAAGCAGGATGCTGGGCTAGATAGGTCCTTGGTCTGACCCAGTGAAATTTCTGATCCAATTTCCAGAGTCTTATGGGGGAGAGTGATTTTCCACAGCCCTGCAGCATCATTTTTCACTTTGAACACTGCAGGCTGGGGGTCAGCATGACTGAATACAACATAAAACTACACAGTATTGTCCTGCCCCATTATTCACACACTGGGCTAAGAGTAGTACAGCAGTTTTTTCCACCATGGTGTTCTCCAGCTGTTTTGGATAACAACTCCCAGCATTCTTGACCTTGCTGGTCAGGGCAGATGGAAGCCCAAAACATTTGGAATAGCCAAGTCAGGGAATATTGGCACAGAACTACTTGCAATTGTTCCAGAATCTCTCTCTTGCAAGTTAAGATGAAGGAGAGAGAAAAACAGAAGCCCTGCAATGCACTCTGCTGCAAATATTGCAGACTAGTAGTGATAATAAGATTGGCTTGGATTACCAGCCCAAATTATTGCTCCTCAGAACAATTAACTGACTTCAATTGCCTGCTCAGACTTCCTCTCTAACTAAATCCAACGCTCCTTTGCACACAGAAGACTTGGGCTCCACTTACTCTGATGGAAAAATGTTTACATTTCTAGAAGACATTAAGAAAGAAAACAAGAAACAAAATAGGCTTGAGAGGAGAAAGCACGACCCCTCTGGCTGTCAGGATTCCATTACAACTTGAGGACAGCGGCATAGTCCTTCAGGTTTTGAAGGGATTTGAGTCAGAGTCTAGTGCTGGCTGCAACAACTACTCTCTACCTCCAGCGCTAAGCTATACTAAGCTATAGATTCTCCCAGGCATGCAGAAGCCTTCCTGTATAGGAGGAGGCTCCGTTTTGCTTGCAGAGCTTTCAAGCATCTGGAACTGACTCCCAGGATTCTCTAGCATGGAGGGAGGGAGGGAGGGAGCCTCGCGTGCGCACGGCCAGGGGCGGGGCCCCTCTAGCGACCGGCTCCTGCAGGGGCGGGGCCAGACGGAGGCGCTGCTTCCTAGCCCGCTTACCTCCCCCAACGACTGCAAGCTCTTCACGGCTCCCACCAGCACTTGATGGTCCAGGCCAAGTGCGACGGCCGTCTCCAGGCTACAGATCCCGACCTCCCCATTAGCTCCCGCTAGCTCAAGTTTTTGCAAAAGAAGCTCTGCTGCTGACCCAAGCCCCGCCGCCGTAGAAGCTGACATCTTCCCGACAGGCCCTTGAACAAGGACTTCCGGTTAGTTACCGGAAGCGGAAATGGCGCTGAGCGGCTCTGCCTCACCGTCTGTTTGGTTTTACTCAGCTTCTTAAGAGGCTCCATTTTGAAAAAGTATTCGCGCGAGCTCCTCTGGCGGAAGGAAGCTGGGTGAATAATACCATCGACAGGAAATGATCTCATCCATCAAACGGTTCGTGCTGGCCGGGACCAGGCAAGGAGATTACGGAGCTAGCCTGGCCAACGGCTAGGAATCCTTGGAGTTGTTCTTCAACACTGCTGGAGGGCCCCAGCAGGTTGGGAGCCGTGCCTACTCCATATTTCAATGGGCGTAAAACGCCATGTGCTTGTTGGGCAAAATAAGGAAACTGTAGGAATGAGCGCTTGCACTTCACTGCAGCCTTTCATTGAAATATGCCTTAAAAATGGTACGACCCTTTCCGCTCACATAAAACCACCCCTCCTTACAATGTTGACACATTTAAAAGGCACGATGGTTTTGCTGATTTAATTGGTACCGGTCAGTCCTGTATTAAAGGCTCGCCTTTGTTGTATAGGCTTACAAGCATCACTCTTTAGCCACACAGGATTAAACATACTGGGAATGGGAGAGGTCCCTTGTGTTTAAAGCAGCCTTCCCCTACCTTCCGTTTGCTAGATGCGTCGGCTGGGTAAGGGTGCTTTTGAAAGCTGGGCTATAGGTAAAATTCAGCAGATACATTCCTTTATAGAGATAATGGACCTGTCAAAATGTTGAAGGCTTTTAAAGGCACAGGAGGTTTCCTCAGCTTAAACCAACGCTGCATTTAATTGGTAAACCCAAAACACATTTCAGGGTCGTTTAGTGCCCTCTGCGCCTTTATATAAAAGAGCTTTGTCATTTTTATTTTCACACTGCTCAGTAAATCGACTTAAAAATAAAGCTTTCGGCCAGTGCGTAAAAACTCGTTTGGATAGAGTGCATCAGTCTCCTAGAACCAAGCGAGCCTCTAACGCTGCTCTGCTTTTGAAGAATTCAGTCGGAACTGGAGTGTTGCACTTGTTGAAATTCGTTATTCAAAATAACTGTTTACGATACAGGAACCTTGTTCAATTTTGCATCTTAAATATCTTAGTGGCAAATCTATGCCATTTCCCACGTGGCAAAGTGTGGTTGGGGGGTGTTGAATACGTTGAGTGATGGCGCCACCTACGGACTAAATAAAATACCGAGGGGATTAACAAGTGTCTATAAAACAACCTCCTTCAATTTAGTTCCCTCCCGATGTACTGAGAGTTGCAGTCCAACACATCTGCAGAGCACCTTGTTGGGGAAAGCTGCAACAGTGGCTCCTTGCTTAAAGGTATGTCTATTTAAATACCTTCAGTGTGATGGTGCTGTGGAAATAACCCTCTTTTTGTTACTGTTGTATTTGCAAATAACTGTTTGAAAGTCAAATGCCAATTTCTTAATGTAGCTTAAAATAAGACTGCATTGGCTTGATAAGGAGTATTTGCAGTGTAGAGAGAAATCACAAAAACCAGCCACATACATACATACATATATATATTACTGCTAATAGAGGCCTAGAGCAGTTAGGGATGCAGACCAACCAGAACTTTATATTTTTGGCACATTATCAAGATTGGAGGATGCTCCAAATTGTAAAAATGCTTACTGAGCATGTTTTGGTATTAGTGTGCATGCATGTGCTATAATAATGTCATGTGGGGCAGGTAGACACTGTACTATGTAAATGTGAAGGCATACAAGTTGCTCTGCCACATGGAGAGCTCTCCCTTAATAATGTGTGTGACTGGACAGCCATCTGAGAGGAATGGTTTAATTTGGAGTCCTGCACTGAGCAGGAGGTTGAACCCAATGGCCTCTTTGGGTCCTTCCAACTCTACCATTCTATGATGCTATGAAGGCAACTGGCAACATTTGATTTAGTGACATGCTTGTGTGTTTACTTCTCAGCTGTTGCCATGTAAATGAGCTGACCCAGAACTACATCTCGGCCCCTCATACTAACCTTAGTAAGTATGTTTAGGTTTGCAGTTTGACCCAGGAGCAGTACACCACTAATCCTTCTGATCTGAACAGGAATAATTAAAATGGGCTATTCAGTACTGTAGAAACTTATTTATTTAAAACATGTGTATGCTGCCCACTGTGCCAGAGCACTTCTAGGCAGCTCACTGATTGTGAGCTGCCTAGAGACTAACGGTCAAAGGTATAACAATAATAAATAACAACCCTTAAATGCCCCATTAGCACATTGCACTGGGCAGGTTGACTGACTCCATAACTCTGTTCTATTCCTTCATCCCCCCCGCCCCCCCGCCACAAAAAAGGTGGGGGAGGGACACCACAGAATGCTATGATTTGGCAAGCATACTACCCTGAGGAAAGAGTAAGTAAACAGAGGAATGGCAATTCCCCAAAAAAGACTAGTGGGGACACAAGCTGCATAAACTGCTGGAAAAGTGAAATCTTTGTGTGCTGTTAGCACTGGAGATGGTGAGGAAATGTTTGATTCCATGAAAAAACTACTAGTAATAAATACTGCACTAGCATTCACCCCTGGTGCTGAGTGGCTCTAAGATATTCTCTGCAAAAATAGGGGGGGGGGTCTGCACACAGAGTGTCTATGTGCACAGAAGATTGTGCTCACCTGGCTCTCTGAAATACAAACCGTTCCTTTGCTGGCCGTGGCAGAGGGCATTTTCCTCAGTCACACTAAATGCTGTATGTCTGCGGTGTCGATTTCTAGAAAGTCTTTGGGCTTATGTAGAGGAACAGTCCGTCAGTCAAGGCTATTTCACTGAAGAGCAAAGGGCACATTGAACAACAAATACAAGAGGGTAGTCTTATTTGCCTTTATTAGGTAACACATATTAAGACAGTTGAACATTTGGCTCTAAGGCTGCAATCCTATTCATAATTATCTGAATGAACCTCAATGAACTCACTAAGACATCATTCTGCATAAATAGGCATGATTGGCTTGCAAAAACAACCGACAATGCAAGTCTATAAAGTTCTACTCAGCCTTGTCTTATCCTAAATAAGCATGAGTCTAAGGGTAGAATTCTATGCATGCTTAGGGAGAAAAATGTTTTACAGCTCCCAGCATTCTTCCACCAACATGGCTGGCTGGAGAATGCTTGAAATTGAAGGACTTTTTTCTCCCTAAACAGGTGTAGGCTTGTGCTCTAAAACAGTTGTATTGACAGAATGCTGTGGAGGGAACATGACTAAGTGATAGAGCACCTGTTTTGCATATAGAAAATTCCAGGTTTCAGCCTCTTTTTTCCAGGTATGGCTGGAAAAACTGCCTGATGTCTTGGAGAGCTGTGACTGTCAGTCAGTATTGACAATTCTGGGTTAGATGGACCAGTGGTCTGACTCAGGCGGTATTCACACGTAAGAACCAAGCTGTGTTGTGGATAGCTTGTTATTCTGTTTGGATACTGGAAACATGGCGAAACATGACACATTTGATTACCATGAATCGTCATGGAGAATTTAAACAGGTTTAACATTTCCATATTTCAGTATTGCTTCTCTTTATGTGTGAAACTGATTGCAATGTTATTCTGTCTTCCTGTTTCAACCATTGAGTTCAGTAGCAAGAGTGGCCATGACCATTTTAAGCTACCATCTGGCAATGGCTGAATTGCTGACAGACAGGTTGCTGATTGTCTGCCCCTATGCTCCCTGTTCTCTCTCCTGGCATATGCTCCCTGATGCCCATCCACTGAACCACTGCCATGTCCACTGCCTGGCCAATTGTCCATCTCAAGCACAGTCTTGCCAATCACCAAGATGTCCAGTTTGCAAGCACCCATCCCTCATGCGATGGAGACGTGTCCTCACCTCTCATGTGAATCTTGTTATTTACAAATATGGATTGTGGGCTGGTGTAGCTTTTCAGTCTCAATACTTCCAAACACAAAGGGGCTTTAAACTTGCAAAGGCAGCAGGATTTAACCTAGATTCTAACAGATGTTTCAACTGCATAATTGGTCACTCTGCTCTAGCTGGCATATAATCTTTATCATGCAAGACAGTAAATGTCAAGATGTTATCAGGACCTACAAGCTGATCCAAAGGAAAAAAATCACTTTGTCTGCCAAATAAATGTTTCCTTGCCAATTCTTAAGTCTGAATTTCCCCATAAAATTAAGTTGGCATTTGAAAATTGATCAAACTGCAATAGATGTGAAACTATGTACTACAGCTCTCTTCCTGCCATAACTGTTTATTAACAAATAAACCCTTTCTGTTTCGGTATACTGGGAATCCAATACAATCCATTTTGGGAAAAGATCTAAGCATGAAGATCAAAAAACAGACCAGGGAGACAGGTCTAATCTGAACAGAAAGGTCTAAAATTTAGACTTAATGCTACCCCACAGATTTCACTTTAAAGATGTCCATCTATCAATGTCCAGTGAGATCAGCTATCTTAAATTAGCTTATTCATTTGAGAGAGATCTCTAGGGACAAATAATAAATAATAATAACCAAAAATAAACTTTGGGCAGAGTCTGAATTGCCAGTTAACTAGCACACTATGGCATACAGTATCTCCAATTGAGATCAGTTCAGAATTTGACTAGTTAAAATAACAGCCAGACAAGTATCCAGAATTATTAATTTTCTGTATCAAAGCTTGAGCAGATGGCTGGAGTTCCATGATAAATGATAGAAGATTGCCAGCATAAAGAGTAAGTCCACATGTTATACAGTTATGCACAATTTGTGAATAACACTTTGTCTGGCAGCACATGCCGTGGGTTCCAAACGTAAGACAAATATCAGAGGAGAGAGTGGACATCTCTGTCTGGTAGCTCTCCCAAGTTAAAAAAAATCAGGCAAAAAAAAACCATTGATGCTACTCTTGGAGTCTGATATACATTTTAAAACCATTGCTGAAATTCTGCAGGAAAACCAGCATTTCTCAGTCTAGCCAAAATAAATGTCCAATGAATTGGGTCAAAGGCCTTCC